ATCGCTGGAAGGCATGTCAGTTGCCAGCTGCATCAAGCTGCCCACCAGCTGTAGGCTTGCCTGAGCCTTGCGCCTCAGGATGTGGATGATGGCAGCCACGAGAAGGAGCCTACTTGGTGGCAAGCCCAGACGATGCGCAGAAATGAGCTGCTTCAACAAGCTAGCAGAAGGGTCTTCTGCCCTGCAGAAAGGCGACTTCGTGTGGAAAGAAAGCCGCTGATTGCTAAGTCAGCGTCAGAGCCATTCATCCCCAAGTTTCAGCCACAAGGCCTGGACAAGAAGCAGTGCAATACAAGTTCTGCGTACAGCAAGATTGCCAGCCATTGCAGCCCTTGGGTCTGCCATGCCCGTGAGGTGGAAGATATGGGCCTTGGAATCCTATCTTCTGAGTTTCCTGATAATGCAAGCAATAGTGCCGAATTCTGGTGCTGCAGGCGATTGTCTCACTCACCATGCTTGTTGATCTGCCATCCAACACAGTTGAGCCGCAAGAATCAGACGCGCTTGCAAACCGGCAGCATCATCAAGCTTGCGGTCTCCAAACGCTGAAGGCGTAGACTCCGAAGGAGATTGCTTATCGGACAAAAGCGTCTGTGAAATGCTTCAGTGACCTGTTCTGAGCAATCCAAGCTGCGCCAGGTGCAAGCGCCGCAGTCCTGGTCCATTGCAATTGAAGCAGATGGTCACTGCAAGACCTTTGGCTGCAGTTTGAAATCACAGAAGGCAGTCAGTTGACAACAAGTGCAAGGATCATGATGCAGCCAATCTCCGCCGACTCAGCAGGAAAGCCCCCTGACGCTGTGCAACCTCGATTGGCCCCAGCATGGAACGTTGCTGGATTTGCTTGTGTCTCCTGCTGTGCTATACGTCTGTCTCTGCAGCAGTTACAAAGCGAAAGATTGAACGTCATAAGGAAATGAAATTGCAAAAGATGTCACAAGGCATGCCCACAGCATTACAGTCCGAAAGAGTAGACAGCACAACGGGAGCCTGAGTGTACTCTGATGAACACGGCGCTTGAAGGTTTGCCCTAGCCCATGTGCGTCTGGCCATGGCGGGCTTGTTTGCTCCGCGTCTTGAGCCCTGGCAGGAACAAGCAAGGCCCACCTGTGGGCATATTGCTGTCCGAAGTCGCTTTGTGAGTAGATACTTGTATGGTTTTAGTTTTGTCTAATCAGAAAGCAGGGTGTGCAGGCACTGATTGCCCAAAATTCAGTGGGCTTGTTGCTCAAGATTTTTGACTTGCATCTTCAGAAGCTCTTGACACAGCTGGCCCGCACTTGCTCGAATCTGCTTTGTTACACGTCTTGGAGGTTTCTCTTGCGACGAAAATTCTCAGAGTCCTTGCCCTGTTTGCAAACACGAACAACACCTCCACGACAACCACTCGTTGATGCCTGTGATGTAGAAGCCACAGGCAATATAAGTCTGCCATAAGGGCTTGAAACATCTTGAAGCAATGTGTCTGTGACAAAAGCTTGCAACAAGTTGGATCACGCAAAAACCTCCACCGTCAAATTTGTCCATTGAGCCATTGTGTAACGGGAAGGCAAGCACCCTCCGATAAGATTTTTTGTATTGAACTTGGGCACAGCTCTGTTGAAACGAAGGCTTCGTTTGCTGTCCTCTTGAGTGAAGTTTGATTACCCTGCAAAGGTTCCAGACCCATGGCCCTTGAACACTGCCAGCAAATTTCCACAGCCCACATCCTTCACGCTCTAGCTAGGCAGAATCTTGGCTTCCACTAAGCACAAGGAGCTTGAGAGTGAAGAAAAGCGGATATTTCTTGCAAGAAGCGGTTCTTGATCTCTGCCCAGCTAGGACCCGGAGAAGATCCTTTCTGGCATTTTTGAAGAGTGGGGTCCTTTCTTCATGGTCTGCTGAGCACCTCTCAAAGTTTGGATGTAGGCGACAGGATCTGTATGCTGAACCCAGCTAAGTGGTTTGCTCGTTTCAGAGGGCAAGAAGAATCCGACCCGTTTTGAGTGATGCACGTGACGCCCAGGATGATGCACAGGAGGCCATGGCCCGGGAGGTCCTTCGAAGCTTCGAGGAGGACTTTGTCGGCACCCCTGTGCCTGCTGAGTTTTGGCAAAGCGAAACTGCTGTTGCAAAAGCTGGACTCATGGACTCCTTTCTTCCTAATTCCGCTGTTTTGCATGTTGTTGATAATCGAATAGCTCTTTTGCTTCCTTGTAAGGCGCGACACCTCTCACGGGATGCGCAAGTCCATCAGGTGGCATGCAGTCTGTGTCTCGTCCGCAGCTTTGCCTCTAGTGAGTGCCTTGGCAAATCCTCTCAAATCACAGGTATGGTAACTTTCGTGTTGTTACTGCAATGGCATTGAGAACATGTGCATACTTGATTTCCTGTTTGCAATCTGCATGGAAGGCTCGGCTGTGCAGCCGCCGGGACCGTGGGCTACGTTGGGCTGGTCCCCGCGACAGCGTATTCAAGTTGAGCGCAAAAGTGAAGAGTATGAAAGACTACAGGAAGTATTGCGGAAACAGGCTTCCTAAACAGGAGCAAAGCTGTGCAAATATCAGGGCTAAGGAATCTCAAGAATTGCCAAGAGCCTGCAACAACGTCCATTGGTAATCGCTTTGCCAGGTGGCGATTCCGTTTCTTGCCATCGGACCGTTGAAAGTTTTGAGCTCAGGATCCCCCAGCTGCAACGTGAACTTGACACTGAAGTGGCTACCTGTGGCTACCTCTACTGCAGGGCCTATTCATGCTATTAGTACTGCTCTTACCATGTAAAATTCACTGCAGCTACGTCAATGGCTGCAATAGAATATACCACTGCTGCCTCTGCTTCTTCTGCCACTGCCACCGCAACTCCTGCTTCTATGATTTTGATGATCACGTGGCAGGTCGCCGTTGCCAGCGCCTTTGGAGCAATGGGAGGGGCGTGACTTGGCTGCTTACATAAGAATCAACATCAAGCAATTTTCAATGTCAAAAGCGGGATGCAAATCTGAGTGGGTTAGATGCGCCCAGGCACTGGGCGCGGCGGCGTAGCGCCTGAGCTGCAACTTGAAGTCAGCAGGTCTCCGCCGCAAAAATAAGGGGCTTGGGTAAAGGGCCAGGGGAGCGCGTGTTGGCTGGGGCAGAGGTGAAAGCCCATTCACGGGACAAGTAGCTTGTCGGAAGCTACCCAAAGCAGAGGACGGAAGTCTGAAGTGTACAACAAAATTTGGCTTTACTGCAAAGCTCAGCCTTGTCCATCTGCAGAGCGAGGGATGGAGGAGGGCCGGACAATCGGGGGGCAGAGAGTCACGGCAAGGTTGAAGGAGCAGACGGATTTGGTAGCCCGAACCCAACAACCAACGAGGAACATATGGCGCCAAAAGCGGGCGTTGGGGGGCGGGGTTCCTTCAAGTGCGGATGCATGAGTCTTTGTAGCGTCTTAGTTGCACGTGAGAGTATTCAGGGCTTTGGACATTGCAGTTGTCTACTGTGTTGCAATGGGGGCGTGAAACAGTGCAATATGGCATCCACAAGGTTTTCCTACATCTGCAGCTCTGCATGTAGACCCTGCATGTCTGCCCCAAGGCCTAACAAACCAGCAGATAGGTAGGCTTCTGTCTAGCAATGCCTTTGAAACCATCAGGGTCTCTTCCTGGAGCTACGGCATAGTCTTCCAAGCTGCCCTCCTAACGTGCCAGCAGCAGGGTTCCGTCTTTCAAGCTGCTTGCCCCATCAAACTACCATGCTCTTCTGCAGCCTTTCCGCATCCCTCAATTCCACTTACGAGCCAAGACATTTAGCGAAGTGAAAGTCCAAAGGCGAGCAAGAAAGTCGTCGACAGGGCATTGCCAGACCGGATGATTTGGGTGCTACAGCTCTGGTCTTCCATCTGCACTCAGAACAGCTGTTTTAAGTCACCGACGTGTCATTTATAGACCCTAAACCCAAAACGAGCTTGGGTGTATGCTTTGTTCAGTGTCCTTTGCTCAGGCTGCCATTGTGCGGCTCCCGGGATGGTTTGTCAGAATTCGTGTGTCTGCAGAAGGAATGATTTTTGTTTTCAGGCTGGGAGTTTTCCGCCCATCCCCACCACTCGCCGTTTGAAGCACCTGGTGAAATGGGCACACAGGCAAATTCATGCTTGTGTGAGTTTGATAATACTCACGAGATATGGTCAAGAGGGTTTCTCGGCTGATGTGTGGCCAGGCTTCTGACGAGGTGCGTTACCATGAGTCGCGCAGTGCCACAATTTGGGACAGTGGGCGCCCCGCAGGCCTGGAGCCCTCTCTGGCAACTGGCGATATGCTGTCCTGGTGGAGGCGCGTCTTGTCAGGGAAACTTCCAAATCTTCCAAGTCTCTTGATGTCGCTTGTTGCATCTTGTTGCTCTGGTCGCAGGTTGCGTGTGCCTTCGCGTGCTAGGCCCAGTTTGCGGAATTGGTTGAAGAGGCAAATTTCACAAGCATAGTTACTTGTCCTCGAGGCCGTGGGCGCAGCGGGCATACTTTCTGCATGCTATGCGAGGAGGAGGGTTGAGGAGCGGCGCAAGCGGCGATGTAACGCAAGCAGTTCGCATCTTGACAGGGCTCCGCTCCATGGCGAGGGTCCTGGCCAGTCGCTGCGACACCTCTTGCCTCTCTACCGCTTCCTTCAGCGAAGCCTGGTGGCCTAGCAAAGTACTAGTACTATCTTCCTTTCTGACGGCTTCACGGGTTTCGTGGCGTGTCTCAGGTGCAGTTGCAGAGGCGCGAAAGCTTCCATGCCAGACTCTGTGCCAACTGCTTTCAGTAATGCTAAGAAATTGCAGACCAGATGAAGCCTGCTTCCGAAGCTTTTCCTCTCAAGTTGCCTTGCACGGCATCCCTTCTCTCTATTGTTAATACTTTCTCGCTGAAGATGGCGCTCCAGGATGAGCTTGTCATTGACATGGGCAGCATCTCTGCAATTAAAGCTTTGTTGGATGATGCTTTAGAACTCTAGGCTACAAGTAGGAGACTGCGAAACCTGGATGATGTGAGCGAAGGACGGTCAATGGACGCAATCTCCCTGCTTTTTCCATCCCAGCCTTTGGAGTTGAAGAGTTTGGACCAGCCCTGGTGGGTCACACCCAGCCACGCGCTGCTCCCGGGGAGTCTCAATCGAGTGGTCTCTTGCTTGACGTCGACAGAGTCCGAGGATGGTTCAGATGAAAGCTTAAGCAGTGGAGATTTCAGTCGATTGGAGCTGATTCCTCCTGAGTGCGCACCGTCCAACGTGAGCCCAAGGGCTCCGCCGGGCCTAACGAAACCGGATTGTCTTATTCCCCTCCCAACTGGTCTGCTGGGCGGGACACGCTTGTTAGATGCCAAGCCCATGCCACCTCCAATGAATGAGGGTGAAAGGAAGCGACGCTGCTTCAATTTTGCTGTTGTCTTCCATGGCTACGATCTGGAGAAGCATGCAGAGTTTGAGCTGGTGCCTCGTTTGATCGGCCGCCGTGGCTGCAACATGGCCCCCATCTATCAAACCGGTGCCGGAGCACGAGTTCGCGGCCGTGGCAGCGGCTACAAGGAAGTGAAGACACCCGATGGTGAGTTCGAGAAGGACGAGACGTTGCGGTTGGCTGTTTCTTGCCGCACGAGTTTTGGCTGCAAAACAAGAGACACTTCTCGTTGGAGCTGAGCCTTGGCCGTGGCTTTTATTTTCTGAGGAAGGAAATCAGGGAGAACGCCTTGTACGAGACAATGACCCTGGTGAGGGACATTGCGAATCACTTCCGCCGCTTCTGCCGTTCCTTGGCTTGGTGCTTCCATCTCCGAAACGATTTGTCTTTGGAACCACGTAACTGCCCCTGTCGCGCGAAGGCAAGAAGAAGCTGAGATGTTCCGAACTGTATGTGGTTCAGTGAAGACTGTTCACATCAGTGCACCATGAAGGCAGGATTTGGCAATGTCCTTGGAGCACGCCATGTGCTCCATGTAATTCGCATGGTGCCAGGGCGTCGCCTGGCCTCTTTGTGATGGGATTCTCTAAGAGGACAGGCGCAGGGCTGTGACTTGCCTGCAAATTTGTTGGCCGCCCCTGCTTTCATTGTGATGTGATGTGCTGATATGTATGTCAAGGTCTGAACGCATTGAGTGTCAAGCCTTGCGCTGCGTGTGGCGTGGCCAGTCAACTCACATGTGGACGCAATCGGGTTAAGCCTGTTAAGCTGTTGCGTAAAGCGTTTCTTCGCAGGGCTTCACTTGAATGCTCCAATTGCAAGAGAACTTGCATGATGTTTTTGTTTCAGGGCAGGCGGTCAGAGAAAGCTTTGTCGCCAGCATCCCTGGGCTGAGGTCACATTGTACAGCAGTGGGAGCTTCCAAACAGTTATGTTTGTTCCATCATCTTCAACTGATCGAATCTGTGCATTTCAGGGTCCTCGACCTCTTTGGCAGCTCTGCCGAAATTGCATGCTCGACCAAACTCACCTTGTGGCAGACGACAGCCTTGATGGCTTCTGTTAAGCAGCATGCAATGTGCATTTAATTTACGCTTCTTGGATTCATATCGGCATCAGTGTCGTCAGCAGCGTTGCGCTTCTGAAGCATGGTATTACTTGAGTTCCGATAAAGATGGCTCTCCTTATTGATTGCACTCTTGCTACAAGCAAAGCAGTCGACATGTAGAGCAGCGCATAGATGCTGCAATTAAGAGTGCACGGAATCATGGCTTGATGTCACTGCCTGAAGTGATGACAAGATTCAGGGCAACAAGTTCGTTGCTTGGGGTTGTCGAAAATCAGCATTTAGCGCGGTGGCAGCCTTCATTTTACAAACGATCTCCATCTTCTGAGATCTTTTCTTGAACCAATTACTGATGTACCTATACACATGGTTGAGACATAGACTAGCAAGTGGAATATGTCGGACCGTGACATCTTGCCTACTGTAGCTTTAGGGGATCAGGGTTGCCAGAGCTCCCTGTCCATGTGAGCTACTGTCCATATTCGCCTTGTTAAGGGACCCTTGACACTGGACATAGGGGTCCCTCTTGTAGTCTAGTACAGCCCCTTGCAAGTAACATAGCACCTCACAAGGAACCCATTTCCATTAAACTATGTAGGGAACATTGACTGTAGCTCATTTCATTCGGCTCCGGGGCCGAATATTTGCATGAGAAGCGGCAACTATGTGGTTGCAATGCTTCAGATACCTGCGTTCGATCTAAGACTTGTGAGCTGGCAGGTGTAAAATGGTCTTGCTGGAGGGGTCGCGCATGTTTGGACCAAATGTGTGAGAGCTTGTAGGTGGTACTCGAGTTGTGCTCAACGCTTGTCATGGCACGAGGGTTGCCGTGGCCCCAGACGTTGGACATCAGGCAGCACGAAGCTTTTTTTTCGGTCAAAGTGGACTGCGCGCCGACTGGGTGTAGGTGTAAGCCCAAATCCTTCAAGCCATAGGATTGGGACCCCGGAGCTGCGACCCGAGTCAGGGGATTGCAGTCAGAAAGTCAAAGGATGATGAGGCCCAAGTCATGATAAAGCTCTTCCGAATGCTCTAGTATAAGCAGCAGAAGGAACATATCATGGCAAACCAAGCCTCTTAAATCTAGAGTGTTGGTTAGGGCTCAGGAGTTTAGGGTTTAGATTTGTAGCTTTCGTCTTTTGAGTTCAATGATTTGGGGTTCGGGGTGTGCAGCAGAACCGACATTTAGGGTTTGGGGTTTCGAGTTCAGGGTCAGTTTTGACTTTGAGGTTGTTGGGCTACAGGGTATGTAGGATTACGCATTTCTTGAGTTTGTGGTATTTGTCATTGATTTTTGCCTGTTTTTTTGGTCTTTACGGTTTTGGGACGAGACTTTCCAGGGTTTAGGATTGTTGGGATTTATGACTTCGGTTTTTGCAGTGTTTATGGGTTTACTGTGTCCAGGGTCCAGAGTTTTTTGGTTAGGGTTTGTCGTTCATTCTTGTCCGAGAGCTGTCAGCGTAAAGGGTTTTCGGGGCTACGTGTTCTTAGGGCGAGCACTAGCAGGGTTTGGGGATTACAGGGCTTGAGGTTTTCAGGATTTGGGCTTATGAGGGTTGAAGTTTCTGACAATTAATGGCTCTTGCGTTTGGCCTTGCTAGGTCGGGTTTCTTGGTGTAGGGTTTTGTGAGTTAGGTTTCGGGCTTTGAGGTTTGGGCTTTCTTGGATTCTAGTTTTAGTGCTTCAGGGTCTTTGGGGCAACCTTGAACTGTAGTCACGATGGCTGCTTTTCATCTGAAGATTTTGCAGCTCGAATGCAGGGAGCCCTGGAGGTCGGCCTTTCACTGCTGGGTAAAGTTCAGGGTTTAGCCTGTCCCATCTACTGTGGTGGTAGTCTCATCCCTGCCTTTGCCTGTGGCCTGACAAGTGGACTCTTGTTGGGTGCAGGGTTCACTGCTTGGATTCTCTTCAGGCCCTACATTGAAAGACCTGCCACCTGGCCTCCCCAGAGAGAGCCTTTCTCGCCGGTTGTCCGGCGTCCTGCTTCGAGGCTAGCAGGCTACTTGCATGAGTGAGGGGGCTGTTGAGCTTTCTTTTAGGTTAGGTCAGCTTCAAATATCGGTTAAAGGGCCCCTAGATCAGTGCGTGATCGCTCAGCGTCAGATAACCAACTGCCTGAGCCCTGAATCTCCCCGTGTGGATTCATCTTCGGTTTCTGGTTTTCTGTGGTTGATCCTCCGCCTGCCTCTTCTGGTGCTTCCGCGTCAGAAGCTCACTCGCAAGAGCCTTCTTCGGGCCAGCCCGAAAGCAGGGACGGCGTTCGTGCGTCATTCCCTCCTTTGCCTGATCGTTGGGCTTCTGTGGCCCACCAATTGCACAGCACTACAGGGTCAGGCCTTAGTAGGCTTTCACGTGCGTGGCTCGCAGGAAACTGGGCCAAGGCCACTCTTGAAGGAAGAGTCCCGAGTCCCTCTCACTCTCCCATGCTTAAGCTTGCAGCTCAGCACTACGTGATGTTGCGGGCTCCTTCAATCACGGCACCTGTGCTTCTCAGTACCTCAAGGGCCTACTTCGAGGTGGTGGGGCGCCCTTTCCACGCCAATACCATCTCGCACAGCTTCCCTTCGCTCCTGGAGGCAAGGGTCTATTGTGACGCCGAGGGAATTGCCCTGCCGCAGAGAAGATGATCCTCTCGAAGTGCCCGATTTCACCTTGGGATCCCCAGCGCAGCTTGTGCTAGGATGGCCCGAGGAAGATGGGGGACCATCAGTTGTGGAAGCCAAGGCCCTTTGCCTTTTGAAACGACAAGGGGGGCTTTTGCTTGCTGTCCCTGCCCATTTCTTCGACGAGGAGCTTCTTGCTTCCGCGCAATCCGCTCCTGCCTCCGATCCTTTAGGCCCATCGGAGCTCTTCGAATGCGCTGCCGCCATTCTTGCAGAGGGTCGATTAATAGAGCATGGTATGGTTATAACAGTTCTAGTGATAGATTGCAGCGAAGCCGTGTGTGCCAACCTCCGCCTGGCAGACTTTCTAGGAGACGGTGCGGAGCCGTTCGTGCCCTCTCTGCTGCCCTATGCCCCTGGCCTTCTCACTCAGGTCGATGCTTGGATTCGTGCGTCAGACCGTCTGGAGTTTTACTCGCTAGACGAGGCGGATCCCGGGAGAGCGACTCCCAAAGCCAAGGTGCTGGAAAGGCAAAGGCAAAGGAAAAGCAGACGGTAACCCAGAGACGGATGTCAGCGGCAATGTTGGCAGACAAGCTGGAGACGGCGCTGTCAGTGCTGCCCGCCTTGAACGCAAGGCTGGACGAACTGGCAGACAGACAGAGCAGACTGGAGGAGGCGGGCAGAACCTCTTCTTCGACAAAGCAGCCTTTGCATCTTCAGATTGGGTCCCATCCGCCAACTGGGAAGAGTGTTCAACCTCAGATGGCTGCCTCTTTGGTGGGCCCTCCGCCCAAGGCACGTGCAGGGACAACGGCTCTGTTGGCCAGCCGCGAGGCGATGCCTGCAGAGATGGAAGAGGCCCAAGAGTTGCTTGGGAGCGAGAAGACAGCAGCATGTTGCAAGCCCTGCTCACGCAGAGCTCGGCCATCACCACCCTGGTCAACCACCTGGTGCAAGGCAGTGGTGGCGATCCTCTGCTCGACCTCTCCATGCCAAGTTCCTCAACAGGATCGCGTGGCGCCTTAGGCAGAGCAAAGCTTCAGGCCGAGTTGGCTTCAAAGAAAGGAAGCTTCTTCACAAAGGTTGTTCAAGCTGCAGCCCGTCGGATGGACCCAACTCAGCCATGCGAAGTGGAACCCTCCGTGCTAAAGCAGCAGGGGATCTCAATGGCCAAGTATGTCGAACGTTTTGGCGGGTACGGTCAAGTCCGCAATCTTGCCCTGATTCAGTGGCAGGTCTGTCTGGCAATGGACCAAGCATTGGCGGGGCACATGGAGGGATGTTTGGACATCCCTTCTCTACTCTGTGTGTGCCTGGAACAGGCCTCCCTAGACAACGGCAACCTGGACATCGGCTACCTGTTGACCTTGCAAGAGGAGCCGCCGTCTGCAATAATGAGCAACCGGAGCATAATGTCCGTAGGGGGGCGGGCAAGGGCTTTTGCCCCATTGGCCGATCAAAGATGGGTCACTACATCTTTGGCCTATCTCCGGGAACTGGATCTCATAACCCAGAAGCGGGCAGATGCTTTCTCCGACCCGCCACCGGCACCAAGGGCCGAGGAGGAGGGTGGCTGGAAAAGAAAGAAACCGGAAAGTAGCAGAAAAAGTAGGAGTGACTGTCCTGAGCTTGTCTGACCTTCTCCCCGACAGCGACGCCTGTCATTTGCCTCTAGCCTTTTCTGGGGCATGGTGGCCCGGCCTGCCTCTGCGTGATGGGGTGCTGCAGCCTCCCCCTAAGTCTCTAGGTTATGGTTCCGATAATGGTTTTGGGCCCGCTAGTCCTGAACCCTC